AGGGAGGGGGTCAGGGATTGAAATCTTTTTGAAGATTTGGAGAGCTTTGAATCAATTCGGACCTTTAAATTGGTCCCCTGATTTGATTCAGATTCGGAGATTCGTCCACCAAACCAGGCCAAATCTCCTTTGAATCGAATCACCAACTGAAACTTCGCACAGCCCTAATGCATAGTCCTGATGGACAAGACACTTTAGAACATTCCAAGTTCACACATGTGAGACCTACCTTATAGGGGCCTACATCCTCAGAAAAAAAAGAGTACCAGTTTCCCAGTGTATTCATATTACGTTTTCCCCTGTAACTTTACTAATTCCACATCTATAAACAGACACCCACTTCACTTATGAGGATTAATTTAGCACAAATTTGATACCTTAAGACTTCCACTCCAGAGATCAAGGATGCTTTCTATCTGAGTCACTTTTTCATCTGGAACAGTTAATTCTGTCACTGCAGTTTCACTGATCTCTCTTGGAGTAGATGAGGACCCTGGTGAAGAAATCTCTCCTGAATGAACTGCACAAAGTCCTTCCATGTCTGCCTGGGAAGATTCCTTCACTGGTGTTAAAATTAAAAAACAAAACAAAAACAAACAAACAGGACAAAACAAATAAAAGCTGATTCTCTGAAGGACCTAACTCATACATTAAGGATACAAGTCAGAAGTCGGGCACACAAAAGACCCATGTTGCCAGCAGCCTCCTTTTCCTGTGCATATAAACCCAAATGGATGCTTTGAAGGCAGTAGTGTAACTAGGGTCAGGAGGACACCAACTTAGAAGGGGTGCCAGAATTTTGCCCCATTCCTGGAAAGTCTATCCCCCCAACAGCAAAGACAGCCCCATGGCATTGCTCTTACAGCAGCAGCAACCTGTGCATAGACACCCTGCTGCTGCTGCTCTAGGAGCAAGAGGTGAGGTGGGCATAGTATATAGTGGTGGCAGCAGCAACAGCATAGCCAGGGGCTATTTTGAAGTTCTCAGCCTAAGTGACTCCTGCACCCTTCCCTCACCCCTGCTCTCTTGCCTGCAACCTTTGTCAAGGGTGCAAACCCTCCTTGTTATGCCTCTCCTTGAAGGGATGTAGGCAGGCAAGGTTCTTTGAGTTGATGTGATATCTTTTATTAGGCCAACTGAGTAGTTGGAAAAAAAGTTCTTTGCAAGTTTTCAGGTGCAATCGCTACCCTTCTTCAGGCATAGGGAGTCTCTGCTGAGTGACTAGAAACAACCCAAAACCCTTGAAGGGACAAGCGTTTTAAAAAACAGCATTCAACTTTGCTTCTAGAAGGAATGAACTATGCTTCCAAAGTCAAAATATTGTTCCCTTGAAAGTCAGAAGCTTTCAAGGTTGCATATAGGTCCAACAATAGTGTTTATATATTAAGCACATTTGGTAGCCTTGAAAAACTTTTTACAAAAAAACAAAACCTCCAGTTGTTGAAAGTCACATAAAAAGTTATCTTAAACGGAGTTCTATATACACTTCACTCAGCATTTTCTGTATCGTTTCCCAGGTTTCAGATCTACCTCACTTGCATTATAACCTCCTCGTGACAGGCACCTTGTCTTGCATGTTTGTAATGCCTTTCTATTCCTCCAAGTTCATTTCTACACATAAACCACAATAAATAGCAAACAGATTTGATTTTCTCTGTGTTAGTTCTTCATCTGTGAAATGATGCAAATATACTATTTTCTCAGTCTTTGATTTGCTTGTCTATTTAAAACTTGAAAGTTCTTGAGGCAGGCTCTTGACTGTTTTGGTCAGTGTCTAACACAACAGAGCCTGCCTCACACACACTTGGTGCCACTGTAATACAAATACATATTTAATTCAAAGGGATGAGGGCATGAACAGGGTATGAAATAGGATCAGACTTTATCCAATTCAGGAAAATAAAAAATATTTTTCATAAAGAGCAAATGAAAAATGGAACAGATCACTAAAGTGGATGTTGGGAAGCTGGACAAAGGTTTAGGGAATTCTGAAAGCCTATCCACTAGCAGATTTCTGCTATATTAGCATTACATCTGAGATCAACTTTGTTAAAAAAAAGTCATTTTTATAAACAAGCAAGGGGAAGCCTCAAATATTTAGTATTGAACTGTTATGTAGCTATGAGTATAAGCAACATGATGTCTCATGTTACAGCTTGGTACAAGTTGAGATGTGAAGACTGGAGGATATCATCTAGATTCTACACATGCTGTTTACTAAGAGAATTTTTGCTACCACAAAATGTACATGTAAAAATGTCTGATGATATAGCACATAGGTAAAAAGAAACATACACTAGAGGGAAATACCATATTTATTCGACTATAAAACAACCCCCCAAAATTAGGATTTTATATGTGGAAAATTTACAAATTTGCTAGTTTCCAGGTACAGAATCTAATTATTGGAGATTTGCTTTGAATTTGTCCCCCTCCCACTACAACAGCAGGGAAAATAAGTGGGGTGGGTCAAGTGGACCCCCTGTCCTTTGCCTCTCCCACCTTCTTCCCCCTGCAGCTCCTTCCCCCTCCTTACTGACAGACTCTCCCAGTAGGCTCACCCTGAGCACATGGAAGTGAGAAGCAAATCTGAAAACACTGACCTTGAAAGAAACATACCTGTGGTAATTTGCATATAGTACTCACAGACTTAGTTCATCCAGAAGTGATATATTTTACTTTGGAAACTGCTACAAGTTCTAGCACAGGTACTCCATAAACACACTTTTAAGCAGCACCTTTGTACCTACTCATATATAGCACAAACTATTTTTTTAATTAAAGACATATTTTGTGTTCCAAGCCAAATCAGTCAAATCAAGTCCAAATCCATGAGTCAGTCCAGAACCATAAGTGGCCGTACAACTGTCAAACATCCTCCACCCCCACCAGGGCTGACAGATATTTCCAGAATCTTTTGGTGGGCATCCTATGTGCAGGCACAAGCCCGGAGGCTTGGGGTTTGGATGCCTCCAAGTTTTGCTTGCCCTTAGCCATAAGGCCCTCCACGGACCCACATACATATGCATGATATTAGTCCAAAACCAAAAGGCTCATGATTTACCATATGGTTCGTTGGTCTGGGCCCCAGCAGAGTCAATAGAATTTCAAACCATGGTGACCCCACAGCTCAGCATGTATGCGCACTCCAGGTACCCCCTCCCCAAAGGATCCATGTGCTAATTAGCCCCTTCCTTGTGAATGGAACAGGGTGTCCTTGTCATGGGTTCTGGGATCCTCCAAAAAATTATATGCAGATCACACACAAGGCAACCTGGTCTGCCTCCACCTCACAGAAGGCGGGACCACACTAATCAGATGTGACAGGCTGAGAGAAGGGCCAACAGAGGGACTCTGGGTGAACTGTTTGGTGTTTCATTAGGCAAACATTGCAAGACATTTAAGGCTGGTGAAGAAACAGGAATCATGGAAATGGGAAAGAAAGGAACAGTTCAGCTGTGGGAGTGAAGAGGAAGTTGAAATATGTGAAATGCAGTGGCTCACCATGGCTTAAAAAAATAGAGTTGGTGCTGAAGGGAACTGTGCGCAATGGGCACTACCTTATATTGTGTTCAGATGGGCTGCCGATAAGGGTGATGACGGAAACTATGATGAATACAATGACAAGTGAAAGGACTGGGCAAATAGGTGGACAAGTTGGGAAGGGGTGGGGGAAGGACACTGAGGTAGTCCTTTGTGTAATTATGATGGTTAAAAGGTGACAGTGAAAGGCATGTGGAATGCAGGCATGGTTTTTGTAACAGGACAGAGTGGTGTAACTGTAAAGGTGTTTTTGGATTGTCAAGTGAACCACAGCAGTCACAAGACAGGTTGGTAGAAGTATAGTTTAAATATAAATATAAACATAAACTATACTTCTACCAACCTGTTTTGTGACTGCTGTGGTTCACTTGAATTACAAACAGTAAAAGCTTTGTTATCCGGCACCCATGGGGAATGGAGGGTGCCGGATAACAAAAGATGCCGGTTAACTGAGAGGCCCGAACAGGTGTCTTTGCCTGTACGGGTTGCTGCTCCTCCCGCTGTGTCCGGGCTTCACCGCCCCTCCCACGGCATCGCCGACCCTCCTGTGGCACTGCCAACCCGCCTGTGGGCCCTGAGGGACAGGGAGGCAGGCCCCGTGCAGCCTGCTATGCCCTGGGCCGTGGGAGCTCGGCAGCGCAGGCTGCTTTGCCCCGAGCTATGGGGGCTCGGAGAAACCAGAAGTGCCATGGTGGGCACTTCTGGTTTCGCTTTACCTTACAAGCCAGCAGGCCGGTTAATAGAACATGCTGGCTTGTAAGGTGTCGGTTACCGGAGCTTTTACTGTATATATAATTTTGCAAAAAGAAAAAAAAAAATCAGTATGCTTCTCCAATATGGGCCACATGTTTTATAGTTATGCTCAGTGTTGGCTGCATTTAAATCAACTTCATAGTTGGTTTCCATTGCTGAGCACATGCTGCTTTTGGCATCAGTTTAATGATAAGCAATTTATTTTATGAGGTTTCCATATTTTCAAATACAAGACAAGGGGCTTCCCCTCCCGCTGACTGGGGGGTGGGGGGACCTCCTCTTGTATTTGAGTAAATACGTCAAATAGTTAATGCTAATCGTTTCTTATTAGAGGTGGGGAAGTTACTATTAACAGCTCAAAGATCCATTCACATGGCAACTGCAGGGGAAAAAAAGCAGAACACTCCCCCCCCCAAATAAGGCACCCAGGATATACAAAGGGATAGAGGATGGAATTACTAGTAACATTTGTCTTGAATCCTGTGTTCACTTGATCCATGACATTTTCTGATGGACCACCTATAGGGCTGGGAGCCAGGAAATCTGTATTCAGGGTACCCAAGGCAGTAAAGGAAGTTGTCAGGTTACAGGAAAGAATGTTAGGATCCCTGACAAAGGGGATAAGAATAGGTGGGGACAGTAAGGCTCCCTACCCAATATTTCTGTATGAGCATGTGGGCAGAGCTGAAATTACCTCACTTCATTTCTTCAAGCTACAAGAATGTGACTCTGCAAAGCCAGGTTGCAATTCCTTCCAAGTCTCCTGAGATGGTGCACCTGCATACCACTCTTTACCTCAGGTTGTGCTCAGGGGTTTAGTTGAGCACTTAATATCTCTGCACCGGGTTCTGAGTTCAGATGTGCAAGGTTAACAAAAGGTTAGACTGCCTTACTCCCAATTTATACCAGTATAAATGAGATTAAATATCTTCCATGTTTCAGGGTTGTAGCCATGTTGGTCTAAGGACATAAGCAGACAAGGTTCTTTGGGTAAATCCGATATCTTTTATTAGACCAACTCAATTGAGTTGGTCTAATAAAAGGCATTGGATTTACTCTCCCATCCATGTTTCTCCATGTAAAAAAATGTGTCTGCCTACTGGAATTTGAAGATTATGTCTGTGTAGGACTCTGAGTGTTGGTGGGAGGCAAAGAGAAAGGTGGGACAGGAAGGTACTGGAGGTCTTATGTTCACAGGCACTCTGGCAGCATAGATCCAGTTGACTACCTATTGTTTTTAATTTATGAAGCTGGCATTTACAAATT